GCCGGGGGAGAGGGCGAGCACTTCGCCGGGGCCGGCTGGGACGCGGAGCTTCGCGAATTTGCGCCGATTGGGTCCCTGGCAGGCGCGTCGCCCGGCAGGGGGACTTCGGGGAGGGCCCGCAGCCTGCGATTGGAGCAAAGTTTGCAGCCCTCTCCGCCCCTCAGCAGGGGGGCCGCTGTGGGAGCTTATGGGTGAGAGGCTCCGCACCCTCTAAGCTCCCTGGGTTCCCATCCTGGCTGGGTCACCTGGCTGCCAACTGGAGACCACCTAACCCAGAGGACCTTGGTTTTGCTCTGTTTAGGTTTTTTTACAGGTACCACCAACTCAAGGGCCAGAGTCATCCCATCCAAGACAAAATGTGCAAAGAGGTAACACAGAACAAGAAAGGGTAGATAGATAGATGATAGATAGATAGATAGATAGATAGATAGATAGATAGATAGATAGATAGACAGGGATTTACTCCAGTGAAAGTTAGCCATACTCTGCCTACACGCAAAACAGTCATGAAACACAAGTTTTACCTATCTCCGCCCACGTTTTCAGTGTGGGACGTTCTTCGGTTTGGTTTGGTTTTTCCCTCCTGTTTTCTACAAAACAATTCAAAACAACACTTGACTAAACTCAGATAGCGGCTATCTTAATGTTTGCTTATTCGCCTTTATTTAAGGTTTTATATATTTATAACCTTCCTCCTCAAAAGAGGGGGGGGGGACAAAAACAAAAAACCTATCTTTAGGAATATTTCAAGACAACCATGTAAGCTAGAAAATACTTGGAACTTAAAAATGAGCAAACTTGAGCTCTGACTTTAGCTATCATTTTAAGTAGCTACACTTTTGTATGATACAGACAAGCTCTCTTAGTTTAGTAGATTCACTCCTTTCTAAAAGGAAACATCAGCCTCTGGGTGTCTCATAGTTCTTCCCCTAGGTTATCCAGGAGGAGCTCCATTGGGGGAGCTGGTAAGTGTTGGCTGAGAACCCAAAGGGTGGGAATCGGAACCCACTACAGAGGTGAAATGTGTTGCATTCTGCTTCTCCAAAGATTGATAGGCTTAGAAACACCGTGGAGCAAGTTTCCTCTGTTCTTGAGGGTCATTGTGATTTGGGATTTATTTATCTACAAGAGTGCATTTTGTACAGGGAATCCAGGATGGATGAGCCCTATAGGACCAGTGGTGTGAGTGGCAAAACAGGGAGGGTAAAGGGAGAATGGGTAGGAAAGAGGGAACCGATTACATGGAACTGTGTGTGACCTCCTCCCTGGGGGACAGACAACCAAAAAGTGGATGAAGGGAGACGTCGGACAGGGCAAGATATGACAAAATACCCATTTATAAACTATCAAGGGCTCATGAGGGAGGGGGGAGCGGGGAGGGAGGGGAAAAATGAGGACTTAATGTCGGGGGTTTAAATGGAGAGAAAATGTTTTGAGAAACGATGTACAAATGCGCTTTACACAATTGATGTGTGTATGGATTGGGATAACAGTTGTATGAGCCCCTAATAAAATGTTAAAAAAAAAAAAAAAAAGAGTGCATTTTGTTTGGTGCCACTGAGCTGGTTCCACCGCAGCAACCTTCTGTGATCTACTAACAGGGTGCAAATCTCTACATACACGCTCACGCCCAAGCTATAATCATCGCATGCCGTTTTTGTGGTTAGGTGTTGCAGAGTCCCCTCCAACACACAGTGACTAAACCCATTGCCATGCAGGCCATTCCAAATCCTAGGGACGATGAGACATTCCAACTATAGGACAGAGTAGAACGGGCTCAGATTTCCAGGGCTGCGAATCTTTGCCAAAGCAGAACGCCTTGTCTTTCTGTCTTGGAATAACTGGTGGATTCAAACTGCTGACCTTGACCTAAAACCCACTAAGCCAACAGGGCTCTGATAGTGACCCCTGTACAACAAAGTGAAACACTGCACAATTCTCACGACGGATGATATCGCTGAGCACACTGTTGCAACCATGGTGTCAATCCATCTCAGTGTTCATCTTCTTTTTTTTTTTTTTTGACCCCGCAGACTCTGCTTGAAAAAGTATAATAGCCTTTTTTGAAGTCTGATCCCCAATAAAAATTAAATAATGAATCTTTATTTCCATATCTACAAATCAACCAAACCTGTTGTCAGTGGTGGCACTGATGCTGACTCACAGGAACTCCGTAAGTGTCAAGACAGGGTTTTGTTTGGGGCTTTTATTTGGCAGGCAGACCAGGTCCTTTATGCAGGTCAGCATACAAGGTGACATCAAGATGAGAGGTTGCAGTGTGGGAGCTTCCATTTCCCTCCCCGAACGCTGATCCAACAGCTGCCAAAGCCAAGGGGGTGGTGCAGGGTGTTGGTCATGGGAAATGGTGCTGCTGTGCTGGCCCTGCAGTAGGGATATGGGAGGGTTTCACTTCTTCACAATCTGAATGACATCTTCACCCTCCAATGGGTCACCTTTCCCCACTTTCTGAGGATTATGATTCACAGAGAGACCCCGTACCAGAGCGTATTTAAATTCTTTGATAAGATTTTTGTGAATCTTCATGAAGAAATCCTCCACTGTTGTCCTGGAGTCAGGCAGCACTACCAGGGACGTATAATCCGGTAACTGGCCTTTGGGTTTGGTGTAAATCCTCACTAGTTTCAGGCAGTCCCAGATCTTTTCCAAAAGGTCATCAAAATTCCAGCGGTGGTGAGCAGAGATGGGCACACAGTGAGACACCTTATAGATCACACCTTATAGATCATATCCAATTCCTCAATGGAGATCTGATCAATCTTGGCTGCGATATTTGGCAAGTACATCACCAAGGCTTGCCTCCAAAAGACCTGAAGACGGTTTGAACAGTGAACCTTTAAATTGGCAACCAACTATTTAACCATTTGAACCACTCCTTTGCTATATTCTCTATCTATCTATCTATCTATCTATCTATCTATCTATCTATCTATCTATCTATATCCCTATCTCTATCTCCTTCCCCTTCCCTCCCTCTCGCATGCTCTCTCTCTCTCCCATGGAGTCAATACTGATTCATTGTGACCCGCTGTGGGTTTCTGAGATTGTAACTATGTACAGGAGTATAAAAACCAGTCTTTCTCCTGTGGAGCTGCTAGTGGTTTCTAATAGCCAACCAGGCAGTTCACCAACATGTAACCACTACACCACATAATAGTCCTTATTCATTCACTTTTTCTTTCATCTATTGAATGTTTTAAAATTATGTTTAATGAGGGCTTATGCCATTTGACTTTTACATTGTGCACTTAGTTGTAAGGGAGTATTAATAAAACATATAACAGTTTATGCTAAATTTATATTATTACCTTTCCCAAAATCTGTCACTGGGTGGTGCAAATGATTCACATGGTAGTCTGCTAATGGAAATGTTGGAGGTCCACTGTGATAGTTAAGGTTTTGTGTTGATTACTAAGTATCCCTGATGGTTTGTCAAGTTGTTAGATCCCCTAGATCTCACAAAGTAGAATCAACTCTAGGGTGAGATCTGCTATGAGCCACCAATGAATTGAAAGAAAATTTTCTTCAGGGATGTGGCTTTCTTGCAGTTTACGCGGACACTGAGGAAAACCTTGTTTGCTTTTAGCTGGATCTGGTTAGTGCGTCTGGCTCATCTATTGCCATTTCTTTTTCTGGATCTACCAGCCTGCTATATTGCCTGCTGACTCTGGGAGAAGTCAGCTGCCTGCCTGTCCATCTGACCTGTTAACCTTGCATTCAAGAACAGGGGCTGACATCATCAGCCCCTGAATGTAGGTGAGTCAGAAGAAGCCCCCAGCTGAACATCTGATCCACAGACTTGGAACCTGCCTGGACTTAACACTTGCCAAATTGCACACCTGTGAGAGCCATTATATTCATAGAAATGTATCGCTTTATATGATCTATAACCTTCACTGGTTTTGCTTCTCTAGAAAACACAGTCTAAGATATCCACCTAGAAGCACCCTGGAAAAATCCAGGGGAACTACATCCAAACACTCAGCCATTGAAAATTGAGGGGTCACCAAGAGTGAGAGTTTATTTGTTTTTCCCCACATCTACAAATTTTGCTCAGACCTGAAAACTCTTCTATTCAGTTTCTTTCTGCATAGCTCCATAGGACTATCCCATAGGCACTCTTCAGCCACAATAGATCTGCTTTTCTCCCCACATGCCAGGTCTGGTCCTTTTAGAGTATCTATTTCAGATATGGTAACTTCCCTCAGGTTCTACAGCTAGAAACCTGGTAATCATGAATCACTCCCACTCTGACCCAATTAATTCCAACGATGGCATTTCTACTGACTCTTTCCCCCCATCTCTTGACCTCTGCTGTTGTAATACATTGTCCATGCATCATGCCTTACCCAAACAATTCCAAAGGTTTCTAACTAACCTCCAGGCTCCAGATTGTACCCATTTTCTGTTACATTGGAA